TGAGTAGCTGGGACTACAGGTGCACGCCACCACGCCCAGCTAATTTTTGTATTTTTAGTAGAGACGGGGTTTCACCATGTTGGCCAGGATGGTCTTGATCTCTTGACCTCGTGATCTGCCCTCCTCGGCCTCCCAAAGTACTGGGATTACAGGACTGAGCCACAGCGCCCGCCCAGCTGATTCTTATATAAGGGTATTAAAATGTCTGGGGAAGAAACTATGTTCTCACAGGGCAGTGATGGTTTTGTGACATATTGTTTAAGGTAGTTTTATCAAGTAAGAAAGTGCTTAATAAGTTATGTGGTTTCAGGAATGTGTGAGAAGAGTGATGGTAAAGAATAAAGCTCAGCATTATGGTGGTAAATGTCGCCAAATGTATTGCCTCCAACTTTCATGAGATTATGTGTATCTTTCTTTGTAACTATGAGTGACTATGAACCTGTCTTCTTGGTTTTGGGAGTGAGTCAGTTCTAATTTACCTTAGGCAGGGCAACTTAAGTTACTGATTCCAAAATACCTGTTCCCACCATTAGATGGTGCACACACTGTACTTATACACAAGTCTGCCTTCAAGTTTTAATTTCTGTTCCTTTATGAGCCAGGGGTGGCAGAATACAATCATTTTGAACCCACTTGATTCTAAGTAATTAGCTTGTACCAATAGCAGAAGAAATGTCTGTATTGACATATAATTTTAAAAAATGTGTTCAAGAGTATTCACATGGCTTTTAAAATAATTTGTACATTTTGCTTTATTAAAATCATAGCAAAAATGTTATAAGAAATAAATATGAACTCATTTTTGGATACAGGGTGGTTGGGTATTACTGCAAAATTGCCACCTCGGCCTGGAATTCATGGAGGAGTTGCTAGAGACGCTAATTACCACTGAAGCCAGTGATGATTCTTTCCGAGTATGGATCACTACGGAGCCCCACGATAGATTTCCAATTACATTGCTTCAGGTTTGTTACTAAATGTCTTTTCATTGAGAGTTATAGAAATAAAGATGGCATAATTGACACGTTGAAAGATGGGAACACAACAGGGCTTTTTGGTCCTGTAGAGTCTGGACTGCAAAATCTTATACTGTAATACTATAACTGTCAAAATCTTGACATCAAAGTTAGACTATAATAAATATTTCCAAGAAGAGCTCTAAGACTCGGTACCAATTTATTGAGTTTCAGCTCTGATCGATGTACTTAGTTTACACAGTGCTGGACTTTGCTCACACTTTATGTACCATAAGCATACTGTTTTCTGAAGTACAGATTGAGCATCCTAAATCTGATCATCAAAACCTGAAATGTTCCAAAATCTGAAACATTCTCAGTGCCAACATAATGCTCAAAGGAAATGCTCATATAATAATTTAATGCTAATATTCCAAAATCTGAAAAAAATCTGAAATCCAAAACACTTCTAGTCTCAAGCATTTCAGATAAAAGATACTCAGCCTAATATTGCGATTTCTATTTTATTCTTTATAGTAATTTACAGAAACAAAACAACCATTTTCTTTTCATGACAGACTTCTCTCAAATTCACTAATGAGCCACCCCAAGGTGTACGTGCAGGTTTGAAAAGGACATTTGCTGGAATTAATCAAGACCTTCTGGACATCAGCAATTTACCCATGTGGAAGCCGATGCTTTACACAGTAGCATTTTTACACTCCACTGTGCAGGTAACTACGAAAAGCAGTTTTCACAGTCAGGGGATGGCTGATGATGTGCTGTGGTCTCATTGGAGAGGCCTTCCAGGAAGCTGCTATCCATTGCCACTCTCTCTCCTTACTGTATTTTCCCTCATAGCCCTTTCCCCACCTGGCATGGTGTATATTTGTTTATTTATTTTGTGTGTGCCCCCTGCCCCAACCCCCAACCCTGACTATTGGAATGTAAAATTCTCCAGGGTGAAGACTGTCTGACTCTCCCACTGTCACAACCGCACACAGGGGATTGTCAGAGCCCAATAAATATTTGTAGAATGAGCAAATGGATTATAAAGATAGGAGCTTGGTTTTGAAAGTGCCTGTGCTGGCCAAGAATTTTATGTGAACCATCTCCTGTAACACTAACAACCACATTTCAAGATAGGATTATCACCATCCCAAAGATGTTAAGTGCTCTTTAAATGTGGTTGAGTAGGATTGGCTGAACTAGGGTTGGCTGGCTCTGACTTACGTATGTTGTGACTCTGTATTACCTGATAGTAAAAGTGGTGGTGATGTCGGAGGAGGAGAATGAACAGCAGCTCCTTGTCTTTCTTACGTCATTTGCTGCTTGCTTTTACAGTCTTAGTACTGATGTGGTAATTTAATAATTTTATGGTTACCAAGCAACTTGTCTGTTATGATTTTTAAAATTATTGTTAGTGTTTTGTTCTGCATCTGAATTTTATATTTTGTTCTGCAATTCAAAAACTATATACTTTCAATGCACTTGATTTATTCCTTTATTTCACAGAGAATTGAAGAGATTCCTTTAACCCCTTCCTGAATTTCTTTCTTCCATGAGGCTGGGATGAAGGACAAAATAAATCAGTTGGCATATCCCAGGAGTCATGCTTTTAGCTGTGCACAGTGATGTGCAGGACTTCACGTTACCTCTCCCTGGCCTATCCAAAGATGGAGGGGAACTCATTGCTCACCTGAGAAAATACTGTGTGCATTTACCCCGATTCATGATCCCTACCACTTTACTAGGTTCCTGGCTACCCAACAGAGAGGCCTGTGGTGTTTGTCTCCTAACCCTGAAAGAGTTAAAATCCAATTAAATGCTTTGCTGGTGGTTATCTTTACTAAGTTCCATTGTGGCCTTTGGATTGTCAATTACAGCTTTCAAGTCACTGGAGCCTATTTCATGCATTCTTATCTGGGGACTGTTCACTTTGCTAGACCTTATCACGCTGTAATGCAAATATTGCTTTAACTCTGTTATTTCATTCCCAATTTTATGATTCTGTTCCCAGTCGTGATGATTCAACTCTTCCACTATGCTTATCTTGGAGAGCTGGTTGGGGTATTTTCCATAGGGTTAATGTGGTGCCCTGTGTTTTTAGTGGCCATTATCCAAGTGCTAAAGGGAAGAAGAGCAACAGGACCATGGTCCAGTCATGGGGCTAAAGTGCCCTTGCACTTAACACCACATGTGTTTCGGTTAAAATGGAGAAAAAATATTTTCACTACTAGAGTGGTAAAGTTGCTAGTGGAGTGTCCAAGAATAAAAGGCTGAATGTTTCTCAAAATCAAATAATAGAGGGCTAGAAATAACACTTCACTGAGAGTCAGGAGGCCTGGACTTTCATGCTTGCTACGAAATCAGTTAGCTGGAATCAGTTGATCAAGTGACATCTCTCTCAGGTCCTCTGTTTTCCCATCTGCGCAGTTAGAGGCAGAAGTAGGTGAGCTTTGAAGGTTTTTTCAGTTTCTACAATTCTGTCATCCAGTTCTGTGATAATACAGTGAGTCTAGGTAATTCTTTTTCATCAGTTTCAGAAATGTTTACTGTGATATTTCCAAAATCTCCCAGGAATTTTAGAACTGTGTTTCAGAAATTTCACAGAAATGTTTGCTGTGATTTTGCCTAAATACGTTTTTTTTCCTTGGTTAGGATAGGGCCAGTTTGATAGACAAATCCAAAATTCTTTAGAGACTTGCTGTCTTGGGCCAGAAGCATTAACATCGCTTGGCACCTTGTTGGAGGTGGATCTCAGCTCCCGCCTCAGACTCTCCTGATCAGTCTGCATTGCTCCAAGACACCTATGTGATTTGTGTGCACCTGAACATCTGAGACTCAACTGCTACAGAAAGGGATGTTGTGGATTAGGTAGTTTGTGACTTAACGTTTCTTTGTCTTTCTAGTGATAAGAACCAAACATCTGATCTGTTAATTAATTAATTGAGTCCTCCAAATTAAAGCAGGTATCCCTTGTTTTAGACAAACATGTTATATGTACTTTTGTTCTTGCAGAGATTGAAAAAAGAAGCAGGCACAGACTCTGAAGCTCCAGAGGGGTTCATGCTGGAGTTCATTCCACATGACAATGCAGAACCCAGTAGTGAAACAGCCAACTCCCTGCCTGCTCTCCAGTAAAAAATGTAATTTCTCCCATTGAATCCTGGTTTGGGTGGCATTATGCCATCAGCTTACCCTGATTCATAGGCATGATATGTGGATTCTACTTCTGTTGTAGGGAACAAAATGAGCACCTCTCCTTTCCTGGGAGAAGGGGAAGTAGATTTGGCTGGTCAAGGTTAACTTGGGCAGAAGAGTGGTGGAGAAAGGTGTGGTTTGCTTTATTCTTGAGGTGGGAGCAGGCTATCCCAGGAGGAGGGTGCCCTGAGTGCTACCATGGGAACATGCATAGATGCACAAGGCAACTCTGCACTAAGCTCTGCTCCCCCTACACTCGCCCTCTCCTCCAGCAACTTACTACCCACATAGGGCACTGGCAGCTACCCTGAGAGGGGAAGTTTCTGCTGAAGCTCCCACCCCTGCTGCAGTCCAGTGATGTCTCTGCTTTTGCCAGTGGCCCTTCTGCCTTCCCCATGGGAGCCTTTTACTCCAAGGACCCTGGTGTGTGCCTGGGCTCAGTTTGGCTGCCACTCCCTGAGAACGGTTCAGCATCCTTTTGAAGATTACCTAGGAGGGAAGCTTCTCTCTGGCCTCAGTGTTCTGTCTCTACACTTTCCTGGGCACTTCAATATAGCATTGTTCTAGATTTCAGAGCAAGCCCACATTCACCCTTTGGGATTTTTTTATTGTTTTAGCACATTCTCCTCCAAAATCTTGGTCTTTGAAACTCAATCATTAAATTTTTAGCCACTTCCTAACAGCTCCTGCAGAAGATCAGGATAACATTCTATGGGTTATTTTTTTCCTATTGATTGTCAATGTGGCACTCTTTGAGATGTGCATTGGACCAAGTAAATGTCTTAATCAATGGTCTTCTCAGCCAATGCCTGGGCCCCAGGACATGACACTTCAGTCAGAATCCCTGGAAGGCCAAAAAGAAGGAGCTCAGGTTTTTTAAAAACTTCCAAGTGATCTTAATATGTAGCAAGAATTGAAAATGATGGCCAAACGGCCACAACCCTTAAGGGAAGAGTCTTAAATCATTTTTACATCCATTCCATAGTCTGGAGGTTTTTCTCCCTGTCACCTTTGTTTGTCCATATTGAACTGTATCTATCTTTCTGACTTTTCAAAGAGCATATATGTAACTCTGTGAGGTAAGGCATTCTTTTGTTTTTCATTTTCCTTTTATAACTAAATTTATTGATTAGGCTCTCTAAGGGCGTGTAGTGGCAGTTGCAAACTTGGTAATTTTATCATGGCTCTTAAAAATTATTTAGATATTAAATAAAAGGGGCCCTATCAACAGGGCCCAAGGAATCTCACTATTAGCAGTTATTCATTCAGAAAAGTGTTAATTCCCCTACATTTTGTTTTGTTTCTCAAGTTTCAGCCTTGATAAGCATTCCTTTCAAATTTATCAGTGTATATAAAGTTCTTGCTTTTGGGAGACATGATTGTAAAATTCTCCATTTAAATGTCTTTGAATAATTATGATAATATGATTCAGGTTTATCTTTTACACTCTGCCCATAGTGTTTCCCAGAGATTCTGGCTGTTTCTGTTAACTTTTTACCTAGAAAAGTTTCCCTTATGTTGTCTAGCGAGGCTTGTATTTTTCATTGTATATTAGCTCCAGTTATTGGTGTTAGTTAACTCCAGTTGTCTTGTTTTGAAGATATGAAATGATTCTGCAGGTCTTTGAGAACTGCTAAGGTAGACCTTACCATAAAATTGGAAATGGCTCTGACATCATTAAAATGATGACTCCATTGAACAACTTTTCATCAGTGTTCTAGGGACTTTTTCATGTTTCCAAGTTTTCCATATTTCTCTAGTAGTTCAGAGTTTTGTATATTTTGTGAAATAAAAATAAGAAACTGTATTAGTGAAATTAAGTGAGGAGTGGACTGGTTTTGCTAAAATCATCACTCACCAGCTTAATGATGTATAGTAACTCCCTTCTGTCGAATGATGCTTTAATACTCAAATCTGTCTGCACTCCATGCCTTGAAGCATGTGAACACTTAGTTGCTGCTACTCACTGGAGTTAGTCCTCTACTGCAGTAGAAACTTCTGTCTGCAGCCTTCGCCACGAGTCACAGGCTTTGTGTTCCTAGTTTTGCTCATGGCCTTTGCCAAGCCTGGAAGTCTCTTCTCTCTGTTTGCAAAGATCAGCTTCACTTCGTTCTTCCCAGAAGCCTCTGATTGAACGTCTCCTTCAGGCTTATCATCTATTGAATTTTTACAGTTAATTATATTCACTATCACATTGTTCTTTTCTTGTCTCTAAGTTTTATTTTTGCAACATATTAAAACTTCTTGAAAATGCATCCTTTTTAGTATTTTTTATTGTATTGCATAGGACTCACCCTATGGTTTCAAAAATGTTAAGTTGAAGAAGTTCAATATTCCAAGTAAGTCTAGCAAAACCCCTTGCTTTGGTCTTCCAAATGAGTTCTTAGGTTCTAGCTGTTTGAGTCTATCCTGTTAGTATTCCAAGGTGATTAAAAAAATATATCAAGGAGATGAAATGACTTTATTTGTGAAAGAAAAGGCACCTACTAAGATTTTGGGCTTTTCTTTTCCCAAGATGAGCTAATCAGTT